CCCCCCCCCCAAATAAAAAAATGTGGACAAGCATTTCTTGTAGAATATGAAATTATATCTTAAGAACTCTGATAACTTCTACTTTGTTATCTAGCTGATGTGTTTGTTGCTTGTTCTACTATTAATACAGGTGCGAGTTGTTTCCCCAGATAAAGATTTTTTCCAGATTCTGTCTCCTTCATTACGCCTTCTACGAATAGCTCCTCGTGGATTTGAGTCAGTGCACCTCACTTCAGCATGTTGATTAATTTGTGCTGGTTGAGACTTGAATGAGTTGATATCAGCATATTTGCACTGTTGATCAGTTTATCCTACTTTGCTTCATGATGTATATCTGAGCACTTCATCCTTTTCTTTTACCTTTGAGATTGTATAGGATCAAGTCATCAAACTGAAATAGATGCCACAGTAAATTAAACTGCAGGAACTATTATGGTAAACTTGGGATGTCATGAGATGCACTTAGAATAGGGTAGGAGATACAACTTTTGCTGAAGTATTTGAGAGTTACTTCATTGCTGTACCCAAAATCAACTATCTACGTACTTCAGATGTTGTTTAAAGCACAATTGTCTTTCTGACTCTGTCCAAGTAAAAGGGGAGTCATTCCAGTTAATGGATGGATTAAGCGTTTGGGGATATGGCGAATTTGATTCATATGTTTATAAGAACATTTGTAACTGTGCCTATATTTGATGTTTTTCATACTACAACAACTATCGAGGGAACTTAATATGGCATGAGTATTTTGGAGTTGATAGGACGGATTCTGAATGCCAGGAGTGTCTTGGAAATTAACGAACCAATATGTCTTATCAAGGAAGTACACCTTCAATTTTAATGGTTGACTAAGGTGAATCATGGACTAGCTTGGCATATCCACAAGTTGTGTCAGCATTATGTGGAGATAACTACAATGAGTAGTTCCGTTATCTTTAAGGAGAAGATATAGTTAATGTTGCGCATAGTCTTTTTTCCCTTTACCATTAGTTTTCCTATGATTTTGATGCCTTCTGTTGTATTGTGTCCAATGATTTTGATGCCTTCTGTTGTTTCATTATGGATTGTGTCCATGGTTTTATTTGTCTCATTTTTCTGTCATCATACCCATGGAACTGTATTCTTCAGCACTTTCTAAGTCCTTCGGCCTTTTCTTACATTTTGCAGGATGGTCTCATTTGGAATGGAGGATTTTGCTGGAAAATATGGAGGACTAAAACCGTCTCAATTTGTTGATTTGATCTCACTTACGGGTGATAAATCTGATAACATACCAGGTTTATCTGTGCTGCCTTGAGTAAACTTTTCTGTATAATGAAGGGTAGATTGCTGTAGATTGCTCAGGGCCTTCTCTTTGTTTTCAACTAAACTCTCCCAGGCCCTCCAACTTCTGAAACACCCTTAGCCAGACCTTACCCAGAAATCTTCTGCCAAGAATGTATGAAGTTGCATCAGAAGCCTTTAAGACTTGAGAAAAAGAAAAGTATTAGCAAATATACTTAGGTCCTTTTTCATTGGAGGTTTGAGTAAGTAATGTAAAAGTAGTGCTGGCCTATTTATTGCATTCTGAAAGTTAAATTTAAGTGATGACTGATCCAAATGACGAGATACAGAAAAATTTTGAGTTCTTAAAAATGGAAATGACGAGAGTGATTGTAGGAGGCATTTCATGGGACGTTCGCTCTCACCGTAACAGCCCAAATGAAGAGGAGAAAAAAAATTATCTGTATCTCATTACTTCAGAATCGGTGTTGTATAGATCACTTATAAAACATGGTGCTGTTAGTTTCATGTGCTCTCCCTGTTGGGCAGATTTTGGTATCTTTCCAATATATCACAGAGTCGATAACTCTGTTTAACTGGACCGAAAAAAGTAGTTTACTAGTAGATCTCATTCAGCTTCAGCTTAATGATTGTACTTCATTGGAATCTGTCATCTGATAAAAACTTTGCTTTTCACTAATCTGGCATTATATTCTTTGTTTTTGTTTCCATGTGCAGGTGTTCATGGGATTGGAGATGTACATGCAATTCAGCTTATTATGAAATTTGGTAAGTTAATTAATGTTAGTAAGCTAGTGTGGAGAACCTTAATTTTGTCGGGCAGTTATAACTGCTTCCCCTCCTTTTGAAGGATAAATCCTTTCCATGATGGCCTTGTTTCCTGCATGTTACTGCTACACTTTATAAGTATTTGCAAATGTAGTGCACATGAAAAAGTTTGTAATCAGAAGTAATGTTAGTGCCTATAGGTTGCTGGGTTTCTAGACAACGTGGTTGAAGATAAATTATTTTTGTCCAACGCAATGGTCTGACATGCAAAATATTCACTCTGACTAAAAATAAAAATCTTGCCATTTCTGTCAATCTCTGCCCACTTCCCTTAAAAGAGAAGTTCAGATTTATTTTATGTAACAAGAAATATGTGAGCTCACATTTACATCTCTCGGTGTCACTTTTTCCTCTATTCTTTAATTAGTAACACGAAAGGTGATACAACGCCCAGGGGCAGATCTACCTTATTAGGTAGGGGTGCCTCGTCACTTGCATGCTCCATCTAAAATTCTGAGTATACATGTAGATATCTGTAAAACTGAAATGGTTTAAATGACACCTGCATTAAACAAAACAGATTTGGGTGCAGTGGTTCAGTGAGGCCTCTGAAATCTTTCATTTCATAATATATCAGAGTTCTATCCTCAGTGAAGACATCCCCGAGAGTTGTTGCCTCCTTTTCTTTGTTCTTCTCTTTTCTTTTCCCTACTTGTTATTCCTTTTGTTCTGTCACGACTAAAATCCTGATGACACCTAACCCCAACCCTCTAGGTGAGCCAACATTTGCAATTAACAAAGCAAAACAAATAAAGGATAATTAGTTATGATATAAATAAAACATATTTAGTCTCACAACATCAACCAAAAGCTGAAAATACTATAATAATCTCCCAAAACCCGATAATACGAAATCATGAGCAACTAAATAGTGTACATCTGAGTCGCCATATTAAAGTACTGTCTGTACCAAAATAACAGTAGGATACATAAGAAAGGGACTCCATAAGTTGCGAATCAAGTACGTCAGCTCACCACGGTCTCCTACGAGCTGCTAAGCGCCCTCCTGAACACCGCTGGGTCCAATAGCAGAATCTGCACAAAAATGTAGTATAAGTACAAAACGTGTACCCAGTAAGCATCAAGTCTAACTCCGATGAAGTAGTGGTGTGATTTAGACAAAAGTGACATAATTCAATAATGTGTTAAACTCATAACAATGTACAATAAAAGAAAAACTAAGAAACCACAGATACAAGTAGTAATGTACACAACCAAGAATCAACTATTAAGCATGCTTTCCGGAAAAGTTGATAAAGGACGTAATTAAAGCACAACTTCAACATATATGGATGATATGCATCAAGTAGCATGTATATGCATGCCTCTACATGATTCTACAACGACACTTCCCAGGTGTCCCATATCATTGCGCACACACGGCCTAATGTAATATGGGTAATCACGTGCCTCCTGAGGATGGATCCAAATCCATGAGCCGAGCATCATAGCTCCATGAAGAATCATCAATATCTCAGAAATCAGTCATCAAACCGCACAAAATGTACCATCGTGCCCAATCATAATATCCGCATGGAATGTCCCATCATGCCAACCTCAGTCCATAGCAGAGTACCATTGCATGTATGTATGTTTATGAACAAGAAATAAGCATATATGATGTATATGGACGGAGGAAATCACCATGCAGAGATATATGCATATGTACAAGTATGACTATGGCTACAACGTATAATCCAATATACCGAATAGCCCTTCATGTCAAAATAAAGCATCAAAAGCCTTGATATAATATGTATAGCATGATTTAAGCTGCTCAAATAGTCATACAAACAAATAAAACATAACACAGACCAAAAGAAATATATCTCAGACAAGGCATAAGGAAGCCTAAATTCTACTCCCAAATATGGTATAACCTCAGCGCCCGCATATACGCTCGTCACCTCGCATATACGTCACCCTCCAAACATGTAATAGTTTGCATATAAGTCCATTTTATGAAAAATTCCCTCAAATCAAGGTTAGCCAAACTACCTACCATATCCGGAATTGGCTTCAGCCTTCCAATATGCTCCTTCCTCTATCCTTGCCTTTCAAATGCTCCAAATCGGGAACGAAGTTGTGCTTCTATTGTCACTCACAAGATAAGAGTTTCTAGTATGCTTGGCATATTCACACGCATCACAGAACAATGATTCAAATTGAGGCCTTGAAAACAAATCGGGATATAACTTCTTCAAAACAAAAAATAATGGGTGTCCTAACCGTTTATTTTTTCTTGGTTGACATCCTTACTTTCCCCGAAAAAGGCTCTATCAGTGCTTTGAATTCCATCCAATATATACAAGTCATCAAGCAATCTACCACTTCCAATCATTTTCCCTGTTTGAAGATCCTGAAAAATACAATGATCGGGAAAGAACTCGATTTTACAGTTTAGAGCGTTGGTGATGGCGGTAACAGATAAAAGATTGACGGGGAACTTTGGGACATGGAGCACAGATGATAGTTTAATTTTTGGAGTACAAACGACAGAACCTGTTCTGAGCTCTCTTATTGAGTTCTCAATATTATGCCTTGAAGAAGACTCGAACCTCCACGCTATTTAGCACGAGATTTTGAGTCTCGCGTGACCATTTCTCCCCCAAGGCATCTTGAAAGTGAATCGTATTCCATGAATATGATATCTATCTAGTGTGATGTATGGAATATATGAAAAAGGTGGTTCTATTGATCAATCATGTCATATAGGCCCGAGTTGGATATCTAATTGCTTCGATTTGAATTATCCGGAGAATGTAATGCCTTTCTAAACATAGGTGTTAAAGAACCATTAGCCATTTTAACATTATCTACTTTGAGATATGGAGAATAGTTTTGAATGCCTTTAGAAGAGCCTGTTACGTGTCTATTTGCACTAGAATCAACAATCCAAGAATTAAGGTGAGCAGCATAGGCAGTACCTCATTGTATATAATTGGATGTGGCAACATTAGCAGAGTTGAGTTTGGTTAAGAGGCGACCAAGAAGCTGAATTTCATCCGAAAGACAAGATTTCTCCGGAAACCGTCTCCTTGAATGACTCCATATTTCTGCCCAATCAGAAGGAAATCTGAAGAAAATTGCTCAAAATAATTTGCCTCGTTGGAAACCATATCTATCTCGATGGAACCAGAAGGAGTTCGTGTTGCGGACATCCACCAAGAGAGAGAAAACTCCATCTCTTTAATAAAAACAGAACCCTAGTGCTGCGAGGGAGATAACTTACCTCAAAAAGGCAGCAATGACTCTAATACGATGTAGATTTTTGAGAAGAAGAAAAGGCTTCTTGTATTTCTCGTGTATTTCTTACATCCCTAAGCAAATGTATGCATATAGCAGTGTTGTCAAGGCACGCTTAAAGCGCGCTTAAGCCCTGAAGCGAGGCTCAAAACACGTTGAGCGCTTCGCCTCGCTTTGTGGGCGCTTTAGTGTCGCATCAAAGCTCTAAGGCATACTTTTCCTTGGAAATGAGTGTAATCCTGAAAAGGCAACCTTAAACAATTGATATTTCACTTTATCGTGATTTTTTTTTTCAATTTTTTTGTCCATATATTTTTTATTCATGCTTATAATGAATAGCGCACATGGTGTTTATTGACTTGGAGAAGGCGTACGACAAGGTTCCCAGGGAGGTGCTCTTGAGATGTCTTGAGGTGAAGGGCGTGTCGGTACCCTACATAAGAGCAATCAAGGACATGTATGATGGAGCTAAGACCAAGGTTAGGACTGTGGGAGGCGACTCGGAGCATTTTCCGGTTGTTATGGGATTACACCAAGGTTCTGCGCTTAGCCCGTTCCTACTCGCCTTGGTGATGGACGCTTTGACACACCATATTCAAGGGGATGTGCCATGGTGTATGTTATTTGCTGATGACATAGTTCTAATTGATGAGACGAGGGCCGGTGTTAACGAGAGATTGGAGGTTTGGAGACAGACCCTCGAGTCTAAGGGTTTCAAGTTGAGCAGGTCTAAGACAGAGTACCTGGAGTGCAAGTTTAGCACTGAGTCGAGGCAGGGACGTGAGGCTTGGATCACAGGTCATCCCCAAGAGAGATAGCTTCAAGTATCTTGGGTCGATGATCCAGGGGGACGGGGAGATCGACGAGGACGTCACTCACCGTATAGGGGCGGGCTGGATGAAATGGAGGCTTGCATCTGGAGTACTGTGTGACAAGAAAGTGCCACTGCCACTCCAAGGTAAGTTCTATAGAGCTGTGGTTAGACCGACCATGTTGTATGGAGCAGAGTGTTGGCCGGTTAAGAACTCCCATATCCAGGAATGAAGGTAGCAGAAATGAGGATGCTGAGGTGGATGTGGCCCCTGTGGATGACAAGATGCGGGAAGCAAGGCTCAGATGGTTCGGGCACGTGCAGAGGAGAAGCCTTGATGCGCCGGTAAGGAGGTGTGAGCGGTTGGCAGTGGTGGGTACGAGAAGAGGTAGAGGGAGGCCTAAGAGGTACTGGGGGAGGTGATCAGGCAGGACATGGTACGTCTGCGGATTTTCGAGGACATGGCCCTTGATAGGAAGGTCTGGAGGTCTAGCATTAGGGTTGTAGGTTAGGGGGTAGTAGCACTTTCCTTACTTCGTTCCGGGGGCGAGGCGGGGTTGGATTAGGGTTGATCTTAGATAGCTTGCAGTTTAGGCCGAATACACTCTGTACTTGCTGTTTATTTTAGCCCTGGGCCTTAGATACTGGTTACTGTTATTGCACGTCTTTCATCTTTTGGTTGTTATGCTTCCATTACTATTACGGTTGCTACTGGAGTTACGTAATGAAGTTGTCTTTCTTTGTNTGAGTTGTCTTTTCTTGTTTTCTTTTTTATTTTCATTTTTCTGAGCCGAGGGTCTATCGGAAACAGCCTCTTTGCCCTATCGGGTAGGGGTAAGGTCTGCGTACACATTACCCTCCCCAGACCCCACCTGGTGGGATT